AAACACCTAGGTTAAAAAAAGTTTAAAGTTTAAAGTTAAAAAAGTTTAACACAAAAATACAAAACCCTATAAACCCAAGTGCTTTCAAAAGGTGAACCTTTTTTCATCAGGGGCCAGTTTGCTCCTTATGAAGAAAGGTCCACCTGTTGAAAGGACATGGACTATAGGGTTTTGAGTAAAAAAAATTAAAACTTTATTTTACAATAAATAATGGATCAAAATAAACTTCATTTTTAGAAATTAAATAATTCAAATATAAGGATGTACCAATATTTAGAACTGTACAAAAGCATATTAAAGACAAAACAGAAAATAATTAAATCTTTGAGCAGTTCCTAGAAGAATAAAATGCTTTTATTACATGCAAATTAAGACTAGCTTTTTATTAATAACTAAGTTTAGTGAAGTTTTTTGACTTTAACCATTTTTTTATTTTAGAGCAAATATTATAAGGTGTTATTATAAATGTTGTTACATATACTAAAATTGACGGGGTTGTTCTAAATATTTTACATGATTTTGTTCTGTACATTTAGGTGAATGGGTAAATTGGACCTGTTCTCAGGAATTGAAAAAAAAAATGCATTAATTTTCTAGGTTTTTTTATAGCGGTAACTATGGTACTTGTGGGTAATATGGATAAAAAAAACTATTATTGCAGTATGCATTTAAAACTAATACGAATTTTATGTTTATTAATTACATGAAGTGTTGTACTATGCACTGGAAGTTACTTACTAGATAGAATTTATAGTGTAGAGGAAACTAAAATGCATACATTATAATAATTTGAATTCTAACACATATTTTCATAAACACATTATACATTTGACTGTGATTGTTTTATTTATTTTTTCCTCTGTAAATTCTTTTGTTTATCAAAATACTAAGCTTCTTCATTCACACTTCCACAGCGAGCAATGCAGGGACCAACAGGCCCGATGGGTCTGACAGGATTGCCAGGACCAGTGGTAAGCAAATTAAGTGAGAAAAATGTTTTCTGCTCATGTGTAAAATCAGTTTGTAAAGAAAAATAAAACGATTTTTTTTTCTATCAAAATTTCATCAAAAGATTTAAAGTAAGAGTTGTTTTATAATCTTAGAGATAAATTAACATTAATTTAACAATTCTTTTTGTTATGTTTTGGGCACGAGACTTATTGTGTGTTAAAGTTCTACAAGTAGATATCCCTTCCATGACACATTTTAATTATCTTTAGTTTTAAATATTTGTGTGAAAACTTATCCTGCTTTTATTTTGTATTAAAAGATATGTTTCTTATGTATTTCTTAGGAGTTGGTTTGGGTACAGTTTTGCTATTCAGTATACATTAACACCTTATGTACACAGTTGACCAAGAGCTGCCTGTATACTGATGATAGTAATGAATACTTTAAAGTACTTTGCATAAATTTATGTTCTTACTTTTGTTGGCATGAAAGACACGTTTTTAGTTGGAGTTGAGTTTACATAAGTGTATGGAAGAAGAAATATTGAAAATCTAAAAAGGCCAGCTAAGTGACCTGAGACATAAAAGTATTTACAAAATTTTGTTTTTCTGATATGACCTTCATGTATTTCTTAACAAACTTATACATAAGCAAAATAATAATTCACAGTTGGTTTTGAACAAATAAAGCCTGACAAATAGTATATATAGTTTATTACTTGTTTAGAGTTAATATGGTAAATGCTGCTACAAACATAATCACATTTTGCAGGGGCCTTCTGGACTTACAGGTATTAAAGGTGAAACTGGAGACCAAGGAGAAGAGGTGAGTTTGTAGATCTAGAGTTGTTTCTGTAAACAGATTAGCTGTACGAATAGAAAACAGTACGTGTTTCATAAAGAAATATAGACTTATTCTTACTCAGAACTTGAAAAAACAACAACTTTAAGTACATATTTGTATTGCCTTGAGGTAATTTCTAGATTTTGAAACTATTTAAGTTTTACTGATTCCAAGCTTTTATATAGTAAAGGTTGAGTTGTAAAACATGAATAAAATTCAGAGTTGAAGAAGCTTAAAAGAAACGCTAAAATATAAAGAACTAATTGAGTGGAAACAGTTAGTGATACGAGTCAATGTGATATGGGTCAATGTGATATTGGTCAATGCTCATTTGGAACTATATTGGTATATTTCTCAAGCAAATAGACATGTTTAAAAACTTGTAACTTCTTAAAACTTAAATGTTCTGTAGATTATTAGTGTTTAAGAACTCAATGTTCATAAGGAATAACTCTTTGTTTCTCATGCTTACATGAGTTCTAATGAGTTTGGTGTGCAAGTTTGTGAATAAGATATTATTTAAATTATATCTCTGAGAAAGTGACACTATTCACAAGTAGAGAATTTTAAGCAGCTACTTTTGGAAATTTGTTGTATGAAAACATTATGCTGTTGGGCAATTAAAGTAGAGTTAAATAAAATAGCAAAAGGTTATGCTGTCATGTGAATATGTTTTTAGGGTCCCAGAGGTCTTCGTGGAATGATGGGTTTTCCAGGACGAGTTGGCAGAAGGGTAAATAAATATTTTACTTTGAACTTGTTACATTTTACTAATTTTTGTTTTTTATGTGTATTATTTTTGAGTTGTGATGATACCTATTTTTTAATCCTTATTTAATTTTTGGGTTTTGTTTATCTTAAGTCTAAAAGGTATCTGGAGGATGGCTTACATGTCGAGTAAACATTGTGAGTTTCATAATAGTTTTGTATGCACAATTGTTTCAATGTAATTGCAAGGTTGTTTATACTAATATGTAATCTCCAAATTATTAAGTGTTTCCTAATTTTTCATGTATGTGATGCTGAAAAAGAACAAAATTTATATATTGTTGAACAAAAATGTTGTAATCTGATCCAAAGCCTAGAGGGGAACTGTAAATTTACATTGTTTACCTAAACAAATGCTAGTAATTATTTCCTTATTAGATAAAAGGTGCTACAGGGAGACAGTAATACCTAAAATATTTTTTTCTTATTTGGCACATTGAAATACCTTTTGTTAATTGTTAATTTAAAAAACAGCAATAGAATAAAACTGTTTGAAGGAGATATCATGGTATTATTTACTAATTGAAAATTTTGTGTTAATTGTTAAATAAAGTTGTGATCTGAAAAGAGAACACTGGAAATTGAAACATATAGGATTTAAATATTTGTGCAAGAAAAAGTTAAATCAAAAATAGAAACTTTCATGTGTAAAGTTTACAACTAGAAGGTCATTAGATTGAATTACTTAAAAATTAGTTTATTTCTTTCCTCGTAGCTAGTTAGTAACTTTTGTTCTTATGTTCTTAGTACTGTTAATATGGTTGTAGGTGCTTATCTAAAATGCATTGTTATGTGTAAATGTTTTTCCAAAAAATAAAATTTTGTTACGGCCATTTCTTTATGGAATAGCTTTAGAAATGAAAAATATCCTATTATTTTATTCATATTAATTTACATTTTTCTCTAGTTGTTTTTAATTCAAAAACTCTTCATAAGCATTTCCAGTAATGAACATTATCAACTGACAAATCTGACCCTATTTCAATTTGTGGTTTTTAAAAACTTCAACAACACTTTTATCATAAGCTAAAAGACATCTTACTGTGGATAGTGCATAGATGTGAATTAAATGGTACTAGCTGTAGGGATAATGATAAAGAACATAGTAAAAGTTCTTGTTTAGTTGTAAATGTAAAAGTGAAATTCTGTGATGGTTCATCAAAGTATGATACGTACACTGAAACTGATGTGTTGTTTTTAGGGTCAGGCTGGTAAGGATGGAGAAAGAGGAAGAACAGGACACATTGGAAGAAAGGTTAGGTGTTTACTAGACTTTGAGACTATCAGATAGTAGTTCCTAAACTGTAATTCTTTTTGAATGTACTAGAAAGTAAAAATTTTATTGAATAAAATGTGGTGTATGTAAGAAAAGCACAAGTACTTAGCTTTGAACTTTGTACCATAAAAAACTAAACAGCATACAATTTGCACACAGCTGTCTACCATCAACTTCGAACAGATTTTATCAATGACAGTAAATTGCATGAAAATAAAGCCACATGAAAGTACCACATGATTAACCCATTTACCTAGGGTAGGTCAAAACGTGTATCTTACAACCTATAATATGTTTACTTTCAAAACTTAATTCAGCTAATTTCTTATCAATGTATAAGAATAAACTCAGCATCAGACATAGATAATGAATCAAAGTTTAGTATTATTTAGGATTTAAGTTCTTAATTTTATAAGGAAATATATAAAAACTTCTCAATCTCTCCTAGTATGAGAACTGTGGTGTTTGTTTGTTGTCTTCCCTCTTCTCTAATTTTTTACTACCTCTCTGAGATGTATAAAATTTAACATAAATTACTCATTATAATATTGTCATCACTCAGGCTAAGCATAATTTATGTAGCCTTTAATCTTATCTAATTACAGAGCAATAAAATAGAAAATCAGACCCCTCTTGCCCACCTGTCACATCCTCTCTTTCAGAACTTGCCAATAGTTTTCTCTGACAGTTAAGACTAAATTATTTATAACTAGTAGAAAGCCAAAATTTTTCTCTGTCAAATGATGTATTATATTACTTTGTTTTCTGTACAGAAAATTGTCTATTTTCCTTCCAGTTCAAACTATTTCCATGGGAAACACATTGATGAGCTTAGTTGAAGTTTTAATGGCTTTTGTCACACAGTTAGAAAGCAGAAAAATTATGATAGTTATGGAGCATTATTTCATTTTTGCATGTTACTACTCTGTGTGCTGTGGTGTATTATTTAATTAAATAAGAATTATTTAATGCAGTAGCACCATTATTTAAAAAAAAAGTAGGGTTAAGTTTCATCGACAGTCGACAGCAAATAAAAAATAAAAACGAAGACCCAGGTAAGTACTTTATTTCTTGTTTTTCATTTGTATTCTTTATTTATCATTAAAGAAGTAACTAAAATGTAAAAATTGAAAATTTTTAGGTCAGATAAAGTAAAATAAATAATAATATTAATAATACTAATTTTATGAGGTACACTTGTGAGTAGTCCATGCGTTATGTAACATGATTTGCAAATTATATACATGAATATTAGTTAGACACAGCTTAAAGGGCAATAACACAATAAAATTTAAGTATAAATAAATATATACTCTTACGAGTTTAAAGCTATTTAGAATAAACAATTGTGGTTTTTCTATTGTAATCTGTAGTCATTCCAGAAAGAAAATAATGTAAGTTTATAATTATTTCCAAATTTTTTATGGTGATTATGGGGTCGTTAAAATTAACTGATCTCATATAGAGTTAAACATTATCTCCCAAAAGCAATATAAAATCTTGTCTGTTATATGACAGTGTTTTCATATTCCTTGAGTGATGCACATACTTTAGAGACAAATGACATCAAATGACAAGTAGTTTGAATTTTAAAATCTTCAAGATGTTTCTTTATTTCTGCTTGAAAATAATTTGTAAGTTATCAAAATTTAGTAGTTAGTACACAAGTAAGTTAAACAATGCTAATTGGACCAAAACAAGTCATAAATGAAAACAAGAATTCAAGTAGTCCCTTTTAAGTAATATCTTGAAAACAGAAGAAGATATTTTCATGTTTATTGGACAAGCTGTTCATTTTATCCTCTTGCATATTGTCATACTTTAGCATTTGCTAAGGGTAAGCAACATTTAGTGTACATTTTAAATAATAGTTTTTCATTGAGCATGAAAGTACACTTAACTTTTTTAACACTGATAAAAAAATCATAAAGGGCAACAACACTAAATAAAGTTTTTCATTCAACATTAACATGCTCTTTTTCCACTTGCAGAAGGTAAACATGTAATGTACATTTTAAATAGTTTTTCATTGACACTGAGGTGCTTTTCTTCTTTTTTTCTTGAGTTTATTAAATTATACCTATGAAAATAAAGCCACGTGAAAGTATCACATGATTAACAGTTTTAGGTTCAAAGTAGTCACTGTTATAGAACCACAGTTATTTTATTAGATACAAAATTACACATCATTTTATTTTCAAGTACATAGGGCTTGGAATATCAGCTTGTAATTATAATTCTTGTAAAACTGAAGAATTACTGATAATTTAGTTGATTAAAACATCTATGTACACTTAGGAGAGTGTATGTTTTTCTTTGGTTTTAAATTTCAATTATTATTCTTTTATCAGAAATCTTCTGCTTGGATTTGTTAACCAAGTAGGTGATTGATGCTTATAATCTCAAAGTTATCTCCTTAGAAGTAGTTTTGTAACTAGTTGAAAACTTTAGAATAATCTAGGGATTTGGTAATGGGTTGAATAGATAATTTAAAAGTAGGCTTCACGGTTTTTCATCTATAAATGAACTAATGTATATCAATCTATATACACATGTGTATATGTATATTAGATAATCTATGAATTACTGTATGATACTAAACTAGTAACTTAAAGAAGGATTTTCCAGGAACATCTATCATCCATTTTGTCACTCTACAATCAGATATTTAGACATTTATTTTCATTTATGATACCATTTGGAGTATATAGATTTTGTTTAAAAGGTATGTATAGATTATCAATACAAATTTCTTACTTATTTTATGTATGTATTCATGTTACAATTGTGCCTCATTTTGGTTTTGATTTCTTACTGTAGGGGGATAGAGGCCTTCCTGGACTCCCTGGTCTGCCAGGAGAAAAGGGAGAAAGGGTAAGCTTTTGAGTTGTATGATAGATATGCATATGTATTAAAACAAAGATATTTTCAGAATAAGGTAAAAAGTGAATTTGATTTATAAAACATTAAAAATAAAGTATGAATTGCACTTACAGTTTAAGGTTCAAAAAGTAAAATTAGTTTATTTTGGGCATTGGATACATAATACTGTTTATATGTAAAATATAACCTGACTGACATGAGGAAAGGTGTTACAACTACAGAATAAAGTTTTGTTTTGTTTACTATTCAGGTATTTTCTTGCTCAGAGTGTCAGTTACGGTATGTTAACTGATGGCTCAATAATACAGAGCTTTATAATGTGCTTCTCTCTAAAACTGAACCAAGTTTAGAAGTTAGAGAGAAAGGGGAACAAATTTGCAGTTTACAGGTTTGTTGTCACAAAAAATAAAACAATATAATACAAAACACAACAAGTGGGCAAGTGTTTCTCATGACTACATGTCAAACTAATAAGAGATGTGAGAAAACTTTCATTTGTTTCTCTTACCAGTTCAAATGTAATCCTCCCTGTAAGTTAAGGTAAGAATACAAATAAGTGAAATCCAGAGAAATCTAAATTTCAGATTAACCTCAGCAAACTTAACGGAAGTAAAATAAAAGTGAAATCCAAGTTAAGCTTAGATTTTACTAAAAACTTATCCAAATGCATAACTTCTAGTTAAGTCAAACAAACTGCGACTCCCTCAAAAGCCAGATTTAGAGATGATCCTAAATTATGTGAAAATATCTTTGCTTAAGGCAAGGAATACACTTATTGCTCCTCAATAAATCTAAAAGCTCTTGTAGCTTTAAAAGCAAAAGTGTTAATGAGATTCTAGCCAAAAACTTGTATTATAGAAATTTGCTAAATTCTGAAGCTCCCAGGAAAAACCTGGCTTTATTTATGAAAAACAATAATACACACAAATCCAAATTTGCCTCCCACCCCACTGTCAATGAGTGTTTGTATGTTTGTAGCATACTGGGAGACTGCCAAGGGTATGGTCACCCCTTTACTATTATGTTATATAACAACAAGAAAAATGTTTCTCTAACTAATTTACTAGTGGAATCTGTGACCTGGTTATTTAGTCTATTGTGTGATAAGGTGTCATTCAGGTGAACAAACAAACAGTAATAAAATACTTTCAGTTATGCACTTGTGTTTAAAGGAAACATATTTATAGTGAGTTCATGGCTAGAAAGTTCTTAGAATGATCTTCTATGTCTATAGTGATTATTCCAACATGTACTTAAGTGTTTGTGCTAAGACCATTGTCTAATATCCTTGACTAGTTGAGTGTTTTAGCAAGAGTGTAATTCAATCCACTAGAGAATAATAAATCACATAAAAATCTTCTATTCTATGATACTGAGGATTTAAATTTAGAGATTTTGTAATTAAGTTGTTGTTAAGTACAGAGTTGTACGATGGCTATCTGCACTGTATGTGTGGCAAAGGGATTAAACCTTGAATGTTATTATTATAAGCCTTCAAGCTTACTGCTCTGTTATTGGAAGCAGTTTTTGTAGCATTTTGTGGATGTTATTTATTTTATAATATTTTTACATACTTGTAGAAGAAATTCAGTATAATAATGTGATAAAAGATTTTTAGATTTGTGCATGCCAGTGAAAAAAATACAGTAAGTAGGATTGCTATTAAGCTAAACATTTACTGTCAAGATCAATGATGATTTGATGAAAAATAATTATAATTAGTAATCGAGAGAGCTTGTATTACAAAAGTGTAATTGTGGGTGTTTGTTCTTGAGCACAAAGCTACACGATGAGCTATTTGTGTTCTGGTTTCCACAATTATCAAAACCCAATTTTTAATATTATAAACCTTCAGACTTACCATTGAGCCATTGGTAATAACAAAGTGTACAAATTCAGTCACAGGTTTTAAGATGTCTCGGCATCACTTGTTGTAAGTGATGAACATCCATCTTGATTCTCATGGAGATAGAGCAGTTCTATAGGTAGTAGATTTAGTTATACTAAGTGTTGCCAAACTTACTTGATTGAGACCATGTCTAAAATTTTTAATCTTATAAATACGTTAGAATAATGATGCTACAGAACTGTATGTTAAAATTAGTATTGCAGTGCAATATAACATATATATATATATATATATTTCCTAACACTTAATGTATTGGTGAGATTTTAATTTGATTGTGCTTGGCAAGTAAATACCATAAACTTCAAGTCACTGTTTTTTTCTGCTTCAAACATAACATTTTATAACTTTTTAGTTTTGAGTAAGGTGATCATGATTACTTATATTTACTTACATCTGAGCTCAATATCTAAATATAAAAAAGACTGAATAATATACATATGGTCATCTAGTTGGTTAACTGTCTTTTATTATTACTTTATATTGTACGTTCAATGCTTATATAATAAATGGTAGTATTAGCTTTTATACTTTCTTTCATATTAGGGTTTTCCTGGATCTCCTGGTGAAGCTGGGCTTCCTGGACATGAAGGTCCACAGGTATTTTGTTAGCTATGAAACTGTTGACTTTCTGCACTTTAATAAGTATGAAAATACAACTCTAGGAATTATTTTATTGTATTTACTTGAGTATGGTAAACAGTGTTTTAGAAAGGTATGATTGTGGAATAAATAAATACATAGCAGTTCAAAAATAGCCATTATTTTGTGACACAAACAAGTGTAGAAAAGGAAAAAAAAAAAAATATATATATATATATATATT